GATGGGATGGGAAGATGAAACATATATACGAGAAAAAGTATCGTTTTCTTCAAGATTATTTTCCATTATTATTTTGGAGGTAGGTAATTGAATTAACTTTTCTTGGTACTTTATTTTTTTTAGTTTTATTTAAATCTCCAATTGAATAAATTAAAGTTTATATACCTTTCCAAACGGGGAAACGAGTTGATGAAGGGCTGTAATTCTGTCACCTAATTTCTCCTTCCTAACCTGAAATGGACACATGTGCTTAAAAGGTTATTCTTCCTTTCAAGATAAAAAAAAAAAAAAAACATGTGCAGGAACAAGACAATCAAGAAAAACAATAGTGACCAGCCACACACATGTGATGTTTGTGTGCGGTTATGTGTGTTGGCTTGCCTGAAAAAGTGTTCGAGGTTGGAAGTTTCTGTATAATAGTTTTCAGTGGATGAAAAATACCTTGAAGGTCGTCTGCGTTGTGGGCGGTTGAACCCTAGCTTTCTTGAATGCCCCACCAGCTGCAGTGCTATTACACTTGAGAATAAAATAAATAAAAAACAAAAACTTTTGGTTAAAATTATAATGCAGAGAAAAAGAAAATAGAAGTCGTACAAGACCATGAATTTACTAGAATTGGTTTTATTATATAGAAAGAATAGAACATAAAGAGAAGCAAAGAAATCCGTTATGCTTGATCTATATAATAAAGAAAGAATAGAAGAACCGTTTGACATAAATATTCATTCAAAAAATAAAAGTTGGAGAGGACCCATATGCCTTTATCAATCAGAAATCATATTAGCAAATATTCTTCAATACCGTTTTAGTAAAGTTTCACGAAATGTATAACATAACTCAAAGCAAAACCCAGAAAAGAAATTAAATAACATGTATCAGTAATATAATATATACCTCTGATGATGGGTCTGGAGGAGGAGGCCTAGCATCTGTGTTACTGTTAGAGAAATCTAACATGCTGCTGCTGAAACTTGTTACACATGATTTAGGGGAAGAAGAAGGCACTATTTGAGGCCAAGTTGGCTTTGCTGGGTGAAACTCTTCGTTTCCATGACCGTACACGTAGCTGTTCACCGAGCCTTCTTGCTTAACATCAACAATAGGAACCCTTGAAGCCTGACTCAGCATTTGTTGCTGAACCTGGCACATAGCCCCTTTCTCTTCTTCAGACACCATCCCACTCCTATTTCCCAAAACCGTACATACAATCAAAAACAAAACTCAGCTACTTAGATTTGATCCTTCAAATAATCAAAGAAACAATTCCTTATTTTGACTTAAAAGGTTTTTGAAAAATGAAATGATCTGTCTTTAAATTGATACTAACAAGTAAAAAACACAGTCAAGTGATGTGTTTGTGTGTCTGTGAGAGAGAGAAAGAAGGAGTGATTCTTACATGAGAAGCTGGCTCCATGACTCAGGTAGTTCTTGATTGTTATCATGCCAAGAAGGAAGAGGAAGAGATGAAGAGGTATTATACGGAGTTAGAAAGTTGGAAGGAGTGGAGAAGAACGGAGAAGAAGGCTGAGAAGGAGGAGGAGGAGAAGGCGGAGGAGGGCGCATGGTGTTGATGTTCCACCAATTGTTAGGGTTTGCAGCCATCATTTGTTGCACCGGTGAGCTTTGCAAGACACCTCTGTTCATGGCTTTCTGAATTTTGGTATGATCTCTACAGAAGAAAAAGGAAGACGTTGTTCCGATCGAAGGTTGTTTGAGAGGTTCTGATTAAGTAGGGGGAACACTAGCAGTGCTCGGTACTGTTTTTGAGAGAATTTGAATAATCATGGAGTTTTGAGAACCTTTTGTCTTTGTTTTCTTTCTTTATTGCTTTTGTTTTCTTTTCTTTCTTCCTTTCATGTTTTTCTTTTTCTTCTTTTGCTTTTCTATTTCCCCTAAGCTGCTTGCTTTTGCTTTATCTTAAAGTGGGACAGAAAAGGTGGTAGCAATTCCATAATTAAGAAAACCAATATATGCGTCTAACCATAGCCACTCTCAAGTGCACGATTTTTGTATCACATCTTCCACGTGGCGTGCTGCTGAGGCTTCTAGATATTGCAAACCCTTTTAATAGATGAGACGTCTCAAACTTGGGAAATTTAATTTGACTTATCCAACACAAACTCTTCCACCTTCTTATCCTTGACTCTGTCTGCATTCATTCATTATTCCATTTCATTAACCACTTCTTAAACACTTAATTAGTATGTCTCTTCCATATATTTATGTATGAAAAGTTAAACCTTATTTACAGCTAATTTTTCTCTCTCGAAAATAGGCTTACAGCTAATTATTAATCTTCATCTTACTATGTTTCCAATTCTGCATGGTCTTTTGTTTTCATTATAAGCATATGTATACTTTGTTGTGATGTCATTGGTGGGAATAGAATTTAGTAGTAGCTGATTAATTTATTTAAGAATTTGATTATTTTTTCTTTTCAATTTCAGTTTTTGTCCTGATATTTAATCCAAACTCTTTTTAACACAGTTTTTATGAAAAATAATTTAACAAGAGATTTGGAGTTTAATTGAAATATAGGTTTAAATACAGTTTGTATTTCCTGTTTTCCTCAATCCGCGATTTTGATATTAATAAAATAATTCTTTGACACTCCCTTTTGAATCTACGTACACTTACTTTGACAATTCGTTTTATAATAAAACATTATACTTAATGTAATAAGAATAAATATAATTAAAGAATTACAATAAAATAATATTATATGAAGTTATAAGTTGAATGTAAGACAAATACTACTGTCAACGTAATATCACCTTTAAAAACAAAGATATTTTATGTTCTTAGTTTAGAAAATATGTAATTATAAAATAATCATCAATTTGAACATATTTATTTAGAAGTGCAATAAACACTATTTAATTAATTAAAATGTGAGAAAAATAATCAAACATGAACCAAAATTAAGACAAATCAAAATTATATTCTTTTAATAGAAAGCCCAAAATTGTATTGAAGCATAAAATGTGCATGCAGACATGAAAATTGTATTGAATCCAAAAAGTTGCATATTGGGATAAAAATGGAACACTTTGCAAGGTAGACATTACAGTTCCTTTCTTTCATGATAAAAAATATATAAATTTATTGGTTTAAATTAACTTTGTAAACAGGCTTCATCGTTTTTTAACAAAACAAAATAACCATTATAAGCTATGCACAACCAAATTTGCCTGTGTGATTTTTTTTTTTTTATCAGCAAGGAAATTTTTTATAACTATTTAGAGTACTCTAACCCACATAAATGATTTTATAGAAAGTGATTTTCAATGGTTTTAAACACTCATGTTATTAATAGTTTATAGGATTTACAACCATTATATTTAACTAATAGTAATTCCACAATAGTTTTTTATCTTTTTGACATTTAAGAATGTTTATTTTGCAAAAGAATTGAAAATAACTTTTAAATGGACCAATATGTATAATGAGAGTGAATATTTTAATACCGAGAAGATGATGAATCACCTCAAATTACAAGAATATTTGATAGGAATGGATTTAATACTCAATCTTTCAAAACAAAAATTTTGAAAAACAAAGGTCTTTATTGAAATGTGAGAGGATTGACCAATAATAAAATTCTCTTTATACTTTTTTTCATGATATATAAAGTTTAAAGTATGAAATAATTTTCATGAAAAAAATCAAGAAGGTTTTTCATAATGTTTTTTTTTTCATATTTTTTAAATAATATTCATATATATCAGTTATACCTAATATGAACTTATTGAAATATGTATATCAAAGTAATTATAAAAATTAAAAAATCTAAAAAGAAGTTGTATAAGTTTCCAAACTCATCTATACTAAGAGAATCTTAAAGTTAAGTTAGTTAAAAACTTATAAATGCAAGGTTCAATTACAATGGATTTGAGTTAACAGAGAATGTGTAAAGAATAAAATCTGATAATTTAAAAATAGCATAATTAATTTGAAAATAAAACCTTTTTAGAGGTTAACATGTAAGAAGAGTTTGAAGTATAAACCGAGAATATTCATTTTATCAGACTGAAGTCACTTTAGCATAATGATTCCAAATAAAACGTATTTGAGATATCATATTCTGTAAATCTTGATCAATAAAACAGTATTTTAGATATCATATATTCCATCTCACATAACTAATAACAGCTATAGCAAGCGACCCTAAAATCGCAAACGTTTCTCATGGACGACACTAAGGTGCTTATTCGATAAACACATTTTAATTAAAACAACATATTTAAAAGCAATTATTATATTAAAGAATCAAACTTAAAAGGTGAATGAGTGTATAAAAACACACTAATCACTTACATTTAGTTCGCATTATTCACTACAATTTTTGTCTTGTTTCTTTTCATAAAAGATAACGTTATCCTATAAATAACATACAAATACAATTATGTGTACATAGATAATGTGAACAAAAATATAATAAGCTTAGCATGTAATTTAAATTAATAAATTTGATAAATAAATTATGAAACAACGTGCAAATGTCACCAGGAAATTATCAAATTAAGTTAAAAATAGCTCAACGAAATATACCATTTTCAATCTATATTACTTATACACACAACAATGAAACTACTCAAAATAAGTTAAATAGAGGAGTGATTTTGATAAAACTCATTAATAATTTTATCAACTTACAAAATTCACATTTAAACTATTCTAATTCAAGATATTTAATATACATAATGATTTAAAATTTCAAACAATATATATACATTTTTGTAAGTTGTCAGAAATTTTAAAATTTATATAATGTAAGAAATATTGTAATATATCTATAAATTATTTACATATATATGAACTTTGTGTTAGAAAAACCGCATCGTTGTTATTGCT